CTGGAAATATCTAAAGTCAATGGGGATTCTCAAAGTTTTAATGAGCAATTTAGTGACCTGGCCCAGGTTATGTGAAAGATAGACTGGCATGAGATATGTCATTTATCATTCATTGATTTTCTTCACAGTGTTTTGTGGGGTCTTTTGGATTTTGGCTGTGCATTTTAGTAACTCTCTTTGTTGTTGGTTTTTATGCATGGGCTGGTTTTCAGTGACATATGCTTAATAATGTCCATATGTAGCTCTCTCCTTAGGAACATGTATGAATTTGCTGGAAGGTCCTGTGGGTCATTGTTCTGGCTGTCCATAGGGCTCTGGCTTCACCATTGCTATCTCTTATTACCTTCTTCTTATGACATCATGTTCTACTCCTCTATGCTGCTTGGGATTCCTGGAAAGTCTTTTAAAGTAGGGAATTGATAAAATAGTTCAAGTCTAGCCACTCTGGGTGTTAAAGGGACTAGATGAATATATGATACCTTGTCATATGACATTTAGATTGTGTCTCTTAAGCTTATACAATGCCTTCAACTTGAAAGGAGAATGATAGATCAACGTATTTGGTGCTTAAGTGTCCCCTAAATGTGGCTTTGTTCAATACTTTTTTCTTGGGGTGGGGAGAGCTGCTGCTATTTATTAACTACTATGTGAAAATTAGAAATATTTGCTATCATGTTAATTAAAACTTGAAGTCATTGCTCTGGGTCTAAATTTTGGCTCTGTTATTTACCCATTTAAATGATATTTGGGTAAAAATACCTAAATTCATTTACCATTTACATGGAAATAATAGTATCCATTGATATTGTTCCTTGAATTTTTTTTTTTTGAGACAGGGTTTCTCTGTGTAGCCCTGGCTGTCTGGAACTCGCTCTGTAGATCAGGCTGGCCTTGAACTCACAGAGATCTGTCTGCCTCTGCCTCTGCCTCCTGAGTGCTGGGATTAAAGACGTGCCACCACTGCCTGGCTTGTTCCTTGAACTGATGCAAGTATATAAAGGTGCATCATAATTTTTCCAAGAGTTCTTTTTGTTTTGTATTTCTTAAGCTTAGATACATTAGTTATCAGACATAGCGTATATTTTGCCCAAGCTATGGTTTAGCTACAGAAATATTTAAATGTGGCATTTGAAGCTTATCAGATAGTTTTGCTACACTGCAAATATAAATGAAACTTGATAGTCTTTACTTTTAATACGTTTTGATAAACCTGTGTGAATCTTTTGTGGCACTCGAGGTATGTCATCCTTTGATTCTACTTTGCATATATTCTTTTGAAGTTAGAATTCACCAAAGTCCTGGCAATGGTGCTATTCACTTCCATTCTGTATTTTATTTTTTTTCCTCAAAGGTTATTTGTCATTTGTGTCAAAACAAACCCTTAATATCTTTGAATTATTTTCCTTATAGACACTGACCAAATCTCTGTTATTCTCCAGCTAAACTTCCATGCCAAAACATTTAAGGGTTACAGTGGACTACATTGTCTAACACGTAGCAATTAGTGACTTGTTACCATCAAATCTTGACAAGTGGCCAGAAAGTTCAGATGTGCCATAAATGTCAAACCCACACACCATTTCAGAGTTAATGTGAAAATTAATGAAATCATTAATAGTTTTATGTTGATACATATAAAGTGGTGGTTCTAATAGATTAGGCTAAATGAAACATTAAAGTTCATTTTACATGTTTTTCTTCACCTTAAAATACAGTCACAAGAAAATGAAAAATTCCTCCTATAGCTCATATTGTAGGCTAACTAGTCAGAGTAGCCTTAAAGGACCACAGGGTGCAGGGAAATATTTAGATCCCAGAAATTCACCATAATAAAAGAATAGCTAACTTTAAAGGACTTATATAATAAAATGATTGATCACTTGATGTGCGAAGCCACTGAAGATTAACTTCTAGTAAATTATCATCCAGGATAAAAATCTAAGAGCAGAACTCATTTGGCTAGCCCCAGCCAAATTTAATATGGTGCTATTTTTTTCTTAAAATTCCAGATAATTTTACCATTTGATTTTTTTCAATATTATTTCTGAAATGATGACGTTTGAGACTATCTTTGCTTTGTCTTTTGCTATACCTGGGAGATTAAATTCCATGGATAGCTACTTATAGGCTCACTATGGCAAAGCCTTCTCAGTGAATCCAGTCTTCAAGCTATCCCCTGAATCTTGCATAACTCCATCTCCCCCTTGTCTCTCCTTAAGGTCTCATGGAACCCTGGACCTTAGTCTCCCATTCCCACTTTTTACGACTCTGAATTCATATGCCGTATTCTAAATCAGTCATTAAAACAATCAAAGTAAGTTAGGCTGTTGCTTTTCTACTGAAAACCTTCCCCACTTCTTTAGGGGAAAACAAATTTAAAATGTCTTGTATGTTTTATATGACCACCAGACTCAATGCCAGAAATGGTCTGTCTTTTCTTGGTTATCCCATTTTTTTTTATATTGAGCATGTTCATCTGCTTTTTTTTTTGTTTGTTTGTTTGTTTTTCGAGACAAGGTTTCTCTGTGTAACTTTGTGCCTGTCCTGGAACTCACTCTGTAGCCCAGGCTGGCCTCAAACTCACAGAGATCCTCCTGGCTCTGCCTCTCGAGTGCTGGGATTAAAGGTGTGCGCCTCCACCACTGGACAATTTAGCTGCCATCTTTTCTCAGGACCAAATATTCAAACGTCTGAGACTATGGGGAACAAACCGCTGCACACATGCACACAAAACAAATAATAAGAAAGACGTGATAAAAATGTCATCTTTAAAATACTAAAAAAAAAAATCATGTTAGGTTACTTTCAAATTTATGTGAGTGCATAATGCTTTTGTTAAGAAGTGTACATCGGACGATCCCCGTTTCTTTCTTGGGGTCCTGTTTTCCAGGCAGCCTCCCTGGTGATGTGAGTAGCAGTCCAGTCATCCTTGTTCCACATCTAGTATCCTCCTATGAGTGAGTACATACCATGTTTGTCTCTCTGAGTCTGGGTTACCTCACTCAGGATGATTTTTTCTAGATCCATCCATTTGTCTGCAAACCTCATGATGTCATTGTTTTTCTCTGTTGAGTAGTATTCCATTGTGTATATGTACCACATTTTGTTTATCCATTCTTCAGTTGAAGGGCATCTAGGTTGTTTCCAGGTTCTGGCTATTACAAACAATGCTGATATGAACATAGCTGAACAAGTGCTCTTGTGGTGTGGTTGAGCATTCCTTGGGTATATGCCCAAGAGTGGTATAGCTGGATCTTGCGGGAGATGGATTCAGAGAAATGGAAGAGATCTACATGAACAGCCTGGACATGAGTGGGGGTAGTGAAGGGCGAGGGCCAAGGGAAAGAGAGCTTGGGGGAGCGGAAGATCCCAGCTGGATCAACAACAGAGAGGGAGAACAAGGAATAGGAGACCATGGTAAATGAAGACCACATGAGAATAGGAAGAAGCAAAGTGCTAGAGAGGCCCACAGAAATCCACAAAGATACCCCCACAACAAACTGCTGGCAATGGTCAAGATACAGTCCGAACTGACCTACTCTGGTGATGGGATGGCCAAACACCCTAATTGTCGTGCTAGAAACCCCATCCAACTACTGAGGGATCTGGATGCAGAGATCCATGGCTAGGCCCTGGGTGGATCTCTGGGAGTCCAATTAGTGAGAATGAGGAGGGTTTATATGAGCGAGAATTGTTGAAACAATTCTCAGGTTGGATAAAGCACAGGGACAAATAGCCAAACGAATGGAAACACATGAACTATGAACCAATGGCTGAGGGGTCACCAACTGGATCAGGCCCTCTGAATGGGTGAGACAGTTGATTGGCTTGATCTGTTTGGGAGGCATCCAGGCAGTGGGACCGGGTCCTGTGCTCATTGCATGAGTTGGCTGTTTGAAACCTGGGGCCTATGCAGGATAGCTTGGCTCGGCCTGGGAGGAGGGGACTGGACCAACCTGGACTGAGTCTACCAAGTTGATCTCAGTCCGCGGGGAAGGCTTTGTCCTGGAGGAGGTGGGAATGGAGGGTGGGCTGGGGGGAAGGTGAGGGGGGTGGGAGGGGGGGAGAACAAGGGAATCCGTGGCTGATATGTAGAACTGAATTGTATTGCAAAATAAAAATAAGAAAAAAAGAGAAGTGTACATCTTTTTTTTTTATTATTATATCATTGTCAAATCATCCCTAGGAGTGGAGTTTTGAAATGAAAAAAATGGAGTCCAATGAGTTATTCCAGACCCCATCCTTTTGGTGTTGAATTGAGTCTGTATCAGTGTGTTTTGATAGGCTTGGCTTCATTGCCTCTCTCCCTCCACCTATATTGTTTGGAATCCACTTCTGAGATAAGGCAGAACACCTACATGACTCATTGGCCACACGCTCTGTGTGGAAGCTCCAGTTAAGGATTCCAGGCAGCAGAAACAGCAGCGGAATCATAGGTGGAATAACACACCCGCACTGGTGAGGACAATGGGCACTTATCATTTAAAAACTCATATTTCATTTCCGGTAAGAAAACTACTCCTTTAAAGAAACATGTACCTCAATCCTAATCAGAAATGTATGAATTTTTGTCACAATTTTCCCAATTATCCTCTGTGATCAACCACCTAGTCAATCAGGGAGTCTACATTGATTTTAAAATGATTTTAATGCTCAAATAGAACATAACCTTAAAAAAAACCAAGCAGGTTAACCAACAGATTATATGAACTCAGAAATATCCTAGGAACAAACATAAATTCATGTTAATTCTCATAATTACATTTAAAAATTAAGAAACTAAATGTCATTGAAAATATACATCTATATATAAAGGTCATTTAGGAGTCACTGTTTTCTAACAGTTTGATTAATTAAAAATGCCACTGTAGGCTGTTGATTTTCAAAAAAGTTTTGGAACATATACTGTATGTAAACCTCTATTTTTCAGCATCAGAACTGAAAACAACCCAAGAGCAAAGAGAAAAATCTGAGAGAAAAACCATAATAAAGACTTCACTATGCCTCCAAGATGCTTTTCTTTGCTCTGGAGCCTGCCATGAGGCAATGGGGAGATGTTTCTAGTGGATCTTGTTCCTGGCCATGGCTTTGTTACTATCACAGATCTTGGAGGTGGAGAATATCAGGTATAGTTTTCATTCTCGAACTTGGTCAGCTTGTGTGTATGTTTATATTTGGTCCTGGAAGGAAATTTCTGTAAAAAACTCATAAATTCTTTTCCTTGAATGGATTTTAAAAGCATAAGATGTAGACAAAAAACATCGATGTCAAATTAATGAGTGTAAGTTTCAGCATCCTGGGGTTTTATCTTAGTGATGTCTTTTCTGTCTTATCTCTCTTTCTGTCTCCTCCAGTGTGTGTGTGTGTGTGTGTGTGTGTGTGTGTGTGTGTGTGTGTGTGTGTGAACTGAACCTACAGCCATCCATCCAAGGGTTCATGAATAGTTTAACAAAGAAAGGGCAGAGCTATTGAGTAATCCAGGCTCATTAATTGTGTACTTGCCAGGAGAATCTACTTTAAATCATTAATGCAGGCAACATTTCTCTCTAGAGCCGTCAATGTGATTCTACCGCATGAAAAAAAATGTAATAATGATGGATTTTCTTTTCTTTTTCCTTTTCCTTTTTATTGGAACTTCAGAGACACAGGTATTTTATATGTACTCTTAAAATATAAAGGGCTAAGTAAAAGGCTGTAAATGCTTTGAAGATGCCATTGTTTCCTTGTTGACAAAGAGCTGGCGTAGGTAGAAATACTGATTTACACTTTGATAACACAGGGCATTTTGTACGTTTCCATCTTATTTTATGTTACTTAATACTTAAACAGTTATTAGATATAACAAATTCAAAGTTTGTAATGATATGGAACTTTGCTTTTGAAATTTTAAACAGTACAGTTATGTAGAGAAGTGTTAACTTTTAAAATAATTGTAGATTTATTATTGTAACTTGCTTTTCAGAAATAATGTGGTGGTATTTACTCTTGGCATTCTAGGTTGATGTTTCGGAAGCTATTTATGGCACTGGTTACGATGTAACGCTGTCTTCAATTTCTGCTACAACATACAGCTCACCTGTGAGTAGAACAGTGACGATAAATGTGACAAGTAAGTCCATGCTTTCAGTTACTTTTTAGTGTGTTTCCTCATTATAACTCTGTTGGATAAAAATACCTACATGGGCAGCATTTGCATTATATTTATGAAATCAGTATAGAGTAATTAAAAGTCAAGTGGAAAGTTGAGAAAATATTTAGAACCTGCCTTCTCTGGGCTCTTTGATTTCTTTTACTTTCAAAGAGAAAAGGTAATTATATTTGCTTGTGAAGTGGATCAGAGAGACTGTTAATGGTGACATTTGGATTATTAGAGCCAAGAAAACGAGTTCGCCATTCTTGTTAAGGAGAGATTATTCAGTTCAAAAGGCTGTTTTTTTCTTTTCTTAGTTCTTGCAGGTAAACCTTGTATGAACAAATTCTTTCAAAAAATGACTTGGCATCAAAGTATATTTGGCATGTAGTGTTTAGTAGCATTTCATTTTTTACATTCTTACAAAAGAATGTGGTATTGCCTCAAAAAATTTATTTCTTAGTCATTTTTTTTTTAAATAGCAAAGGTCTCGGGAGAATAAATTCATACTGGTTACTGGGAACTTCAAACATTCACATTTATAGATACTTTTTTTTTTTTTACTTTTTTTGTAGAAATAGAATAGTTATCTGATCATTTAATAATGTATGTTTTAAAAAATAGAACCAGGGCCTCCAGTCTTTCTAGCTGGGGAGAGAGTTGGATCTGCTGGGATTCTTCTTTCGTGGAATACCCCACCTAACCCAAACGGAAGGATCCTATCTTATGTTGTTAAATATAAGGAAGTGTGTCCGTGGATGCAGACAGCATACACCCGAGCAAGAGCAAAGCCAGACAGTCTGGAGGTTCTTCTTACTAACCTTAACCCTGGAACAACCTATGAGATTAAGGTAAATGTTTTGTGAATGGATACTTAGTATTAAATAGTAAATCCATGAGAAAAGTGCAAGAGTTTTTGTCACAGTGTAAATGTGCTAGCCAAGTGCTCTGAGTCACTGAAGAGTGTCAGGTTGCATGTGTTCAACACCCAACTATAATGTAAAACCTGGTGAAGTAATTGTAATCTTTCTCCATCTCTAAGTAGACGAATATATTTATATATTATCCACTTTGAAAAGCTTTAGCTTAATATCTTCTGTGGAAAGCAAGTTAAGTTTAAATTCAATATTTCAGGTTTCAAAACAAACATATTACATGCCACATATTGATTATTCTAATTTTTTTGCGGTGCAAGGATGGAACCCCGAGCCTGATGTACGTTAGGCAAATGCTCAGCTGCCAATCTACATCTCAAGACTAAATTACAGGTTCTTTTTAATTGGACTTAAATTTAACATTGGTGTTTTCTTCTAACCCTGTTGAGCTTGAATGTACATTGCTAAACTTTTGGATAGTGGATTGAAAACTATTGAAGATGCAGTTTTACTAAAAATAATGTGTTCAAGTCTGTTTCACTCAAGAAATTATTGTTGAGCTCTTACTTTGTATTTCTAAAAGTATGTGTTACTTTACAATGTTAACGATTCATGATTTAATGTTTTATTTGAATACTAAAGATGAACTTACACAAAGCAGTGCTGTATGGGAACATTAAGTAGAAATGTTTGCAATTAGGGAGAGCTATGACATTTGCAGACGAGGAAGTAAAGAACAGAGGCATCTTCTCGGCTCCTTGCTATTTCCAACGCCTTTTTTTCTTAAAAAAAAAAAAAAACCACTTATTTATTATTTATTTATTGTGTTACACGAGGTGTGTGTTCCAGGGGATGTGCATGTCATGGTACAAGTGGCCATGTGTTGAGGTCAAAGGACAACTTGCGTGAGTTGATTCTTTCCTTCTACCTCATGGGTTCCAGTGCTCTGACTCAGGTTGTCAGGCTTGGTGGCAAAAGTCCTTACCTTCTGAGCCATCTCACCAGCCCTGGCATGTGTCTTTTCTTTTAGTCTTGACAATAAGAGAGTATAGAGAAGGAAATGTGTAAAAGCTGAGTGTGTGGCCTTACTAACTGTGGTGGCCTTCCTTGATGATAAAACATGAAGCTAGATTTTGTAAGAAAGGTTTTTGATATCTGAAAATTGCAAAATGTGTTTTCTAGAAACGTGCATATTTGGGTTAACTAGTATCACAACATGAACTCCTGGGTATAATAAATAAATATGAAATTTAATGGGATGTAAGAAATTATTGTTCAGAGCAAGTTGATTTGCCCAGGCTAGTTCTGCTTAGATCTATTTTTATGGGTTCTCATTTTATTTCTCTGAATTCTCTCATTTCAGTCTTATTAAGAAGCCTGTAGTCTATGTTTCATCCAACACTTCATAAATCACTATTGTGACATTTGCTTTCTTCAAATAAATGCTAGCCATTGATGAATTCCAAAGGGAATTTGGTATGGTACATTTGATATCTTCAGTATAAGTAACACCTAAGGGGGAATCCTGTAAAGTGATCTACGTATATTATTTCAGTTAGTCTTGGAAAAAAACCCTGTGACATATTATTATTCCCAGTTACATATGAGAAAAACATGTGCCCTAGAAGAGTTAAGCTAATTACCTAAAATTTCCTGACTGGCAAGTGGAATAACTACAAGATGGTCCGGTTTCATTCATGGCATTTTGTAAAGGCTTAGGAGTCTCTTTGCCATTTACTGTGTCTTCTCTGCCCATTGATCTATCTCACTAAATTACGCAAGTTAAAAATAGTGTTCCCGTTAAATTTTGACTTTGTTCTCTATGTTGTTAATCCAACTTACTTTTCACTGGTACTTTTTCCCGAGTACTCATTTGCCCAATTATAGAGTTTGAATCTTAATGTCTGATGTCATATGACTAGTCCGTCCTATGTATAGTACATATAGTGGGTAAAGACTGAGTTTTGGAAAAAAATATTTCAACTGAATTCATGCTCTACCATTATTTCTTTTATGAACATGGCCAAGCCATCTGAAGGATGTTGGCCAGACTAGCTTAGTTGGATTACATGACCTACTCACTATCCACCCATGTCCTTTCTGTTTGGGGAATATTGTAAGGATTATAGGAAAACTCTTTTAGAGCTTACCTTGGTGGTGGTGGGAAATGAAAGATGTATCATTTCAGATTCTGTGTATTTAGAAAGCAAAGAATTTGAACTTCAAACTCTTGATCTGTTTCAGGTTGCGGCTGAAAACAGTGCTGGCATTGGAGTGTTTAGTGACCCATTTCTTTTCCAAACTGCAGAAAGTGGTAACTTTCCTAAGTCATTAATTCTAAAGTAATTTAGTCATGAGTTCTTAACGTTTAAAAAATTGGAACATGATGAAAATATGATGCAAAACGCATAAAATTATTGAGAATGCTCTTTCAATTCCTTTTAGTTATTTGGGGGCAGTAAAAGCATTGTGAAAAACAAAATTGTTCTTTCTAATGATAACAGCTATTTAGTATAACACTGGGAGCAAAACGTTTGAAAGCACAAGAAAAATAAAATAAAAAATCATATATTGTCTTGTCAAGCAAAACAGCTCTATTTTAATTTAATTTATTTATTTTTAAGAACAATTCTTTCTCTGCAGCCTAGGCTAGCCTTGAAGTGACTATGCCATACAGGCTGACCTCATACTTAGAATCTTCCTCATTAAGTGTCCTGCCTGCTGGGCTTACAAGTAGGCAAGCTTATAAAACACCTTTATGAATATTTTGGTACATTGGTGGCTCATCTCTTTTTCTTCCCGTACATATATGTCCCCACGACTATGTAGTGATGCAAATAGACTATTGCCAAGTAGGTGTATATATCTTTTCCTATTAGCACCACTGATAAGCATTTTGTGACATTAGACATGAAAATGTGGACTTTGGTGATTAACATATCATTTTGTAACACTCAGCCACGACCAAACTAGTTCACCCATCTCCCTTCTTGTGGCTGAGAGTAATCTTTGATGTCATCTTCAGTTCCTCCCACCAAGTAATATCTAAATCTACCAGCAATCCTTGGAAGCACTTTAATAAATCGTGTCCAAGGTGTCTTAACCCACACTGCAAATCTTGCTGCCCTGCCCACTTTCATTTCCTCCTTAGATGACCAAAATACCTTCCAATCCAATTAGAATGAAATAAATGTATAGAAAAATAGACAATCGTATCACCAATTAACAAATATTTACCATGGACCTTATATTCTAATGGGATAAAATAAACAAATATGTGTATTAATATGCCAGGTAGATTATAAGGCTATACAGTAATTTCTATGGTTTTTGAAATTATGAATGATATATATGTTACTCATATGTGTGTGTTTGTGTTTGTGTGTGTGTGTGTGTGTGTGTGTGTGTGTGTGTGTGTGTGTGTAAAATTCTCCCAATTGCTAAGCATAATTTAGCATCCTGGTACATGTAGAGGATACAACAGTCAGTATAGAAAAAAAAATGTGTAGTACATTCAGCAAAGTTACTGGTTTAAGAGATATTAAATTCTATGGAATACATGGGATGTTGTAACTGAAAGTTTTCCTGTGCCCACCCGGCTCCTGCATCCTTGTGGTCCCACAGCCTCTCAGACCCAAATGAACACACAGAGGCTTATATTAATTACAAACTGTGTGGCCTATTGGATCAGGCTTCTCGCTAGCTAGATCTTACATCTTAAATTAACCCATTTCTATAAATCTATACTTTGCCACATGGCTCGTGGCTTACCGGTATCTTTACATCTTGTTTCTCAAGGCAGCGGCTGGCAGCGTCCTCTCTGTTCTTCCTCTCTCCTTCCTTTCTAGGTAGAATGTCCTGCCTAACCCTATTCTGCCTCACCATTGGCCAAACAGCTTTATTTTTCAACCAGTCAGAGCAACATATTTTCACAGCATACAGGAAGACATTCCCCCATCACTTCCCCGTTTCTTTCTAAACAAAAGGAAGGTTTTAACTTAAACCTAGTAAAATTACATATATCAAGCAAGAATTACAGTTTCAATATCTAGTCTATTTGTATTTTGTAAAATTAGAGAAAATATTTTATCTGTCCTATATTTGTGAATCTAAAATATTGTATCTAATTTATCTTTTATAATAACCAAGGAAAATTATAATTATAACTATCTAGTCTTCAACTACATCAAAGACCTCAGAAGGCTACAATATTACCTAAGTAAACAGGATGTTGCAGTTGTACAGTATTATGCATTTAACAGCCTCTGCTCCTTTGTTTTATTGTATTTTGTATACCTCCAATAAATTAAATATTGACTATTTAACAAACTTCTTAAATTTCAACTCCATTTCATCAATTCTCTTTAAACTTTCCATTTATTATTTTATCTATTAGTAACCACTCTCAATAACTGTGGTTAATTTACTTCTGTTATTAATGTCACTTTGACATTACATTGTCATTCTTCATTCTTACTGTCTAACTTGTATTGAATCTCAGGACCCAACTTGTTGCATGATTTACACAGACTTTTTTTACTACAGATTTTGGCATTTTTGGAACAGTGGAAACCTTAACTCTAGCCATTTGGCATCTTAATACCAGTCACCATTATTATTAGATGTAGTTTTACTGAAAGCATTTTTGTTTTATTCTATAATCTGAAATATCTTGATAATTTATTTGCATACTTAATGTACACAGTTTCATTTCACTCTGATGTAATATAGTTGTCACTGAAACTAAACATACAGATTACCATTATAGATAGTTAATAATTGATAGTAAGAAATTTGGGGGAAAGGTTGATTTTGAGGGAATATGAAACTCAAAATAAAAAAATCATGAACTATTATTTGGATATCTATTAACTTATTGTTAGACACTAGATATTTATAAACTTTTCAGATATGAATTCTTTGTATTTTGGCAACAAGTTTGAATTTATCACTTTTACTCAACTTCTACAGTACCTACATAATTCCAAAAAATATTTAAGGAAGTAAAATTTCAGCCCATACTTGTTTGTATATTCACAACTAACTGTTGATTGAATAGTTTTCGTGTGTATTAGAAAAGCTTCATCGAATGAATGGATATGCTAAACCAGTAATTCTGAAATATGCAGATATGGTTAAGTCCATTTTGTAAAAAAATTTAAGATGAAATAAATGCGTATATATTTAGGTAGAAAGATGATTTTATTCAAGGTATTACATATTTAGTTACATATTATGTAGAAATTTAGTATCTCTGAAGAACGTAAACAGCTTAAGTTTTACAACATTTTCCCCTCTCCTCCAACCTGTTCTACCCTCAGCTCCGGGTAAAGTGGTCAATCTCACAGTTGAAGCCCTAAACTATTCCGCAGTAAACTTGATTTGGTATTTGCCTCGGCAACCAAATGGCAAAATCACCGGCTTCAAGATCAGTGTCAAACATGCCAGAAGTGGCATAGTAGTGAAGGATGTCTCCATCAAAGTAGAGGATATTCTGACTGGGAAATTGCCTGAATGTAATGTGAGTATTTTTCACATCAAAATTTTTATTAAGCTTGCATCTTCAAGTTTTCATATTTTGCAAGATTATACTTGCATAAAGTATAAAGGCCATAAGTGTCATGTTATGCGAAACTGGCAGTATTTTAGGGGTTTGAATTAAAGATTGGAAGATAACATCTCTAAGGCAGATCTTGAAATACTACATTAAAGGGGCAGCATTTGGTTCAGTAATGGAAGAAGAATGGAGGGGGGCACTTTTTAAGTCCCTGAGGTGTGAAAGTGTAGTCCCTACTGGAGTAGAGGTCATAAGTCCATGTGTTATAGGAGAAGGTACCTGTAGGGAAATACATAGTCAATGCAAGATTAAACTGGTAGGCTGTTTGGTGGCATATCTTTGTGAAAATATTGCCATTTTTTTCATTGATGTGAAACTTATGCAAACTGTTGTAATGCTTTCTTCCAAATTGTCTTTGGTATTTTTTATTATATTACTGATATAGAAAAAACCAAGCAAAGTTATTTTGTTTTAAATAGGGCAGCAAAGTCTCAAAAATCTTTTATTTTGAATTGCAACCTATTTTGAATACACACATATGTATCTGCATATGCACCCTATCTGGGAACATAAAAATATTAATGTTGTTTTGCTTTATTTGAGTACTTATGATTTAAAAAATGGTAGGAATAGTTAAGAACATAGATTGAAATTTCTTAGGTCTTTTGCTCTATATGTTTAACATGAACTTTAAAAAATTCTTGTTGGTGATTTAGCTGTTGTTTTACCTTAATTTTATGCTACTTTAAATTCTACACTGGATTTCAAGATTAAAGTACAGTGGATATAATAGGTATTATATCCTAATATTATGTCCTAATATTATAGACATTAGTGACCATAATTAAAATTTAGCAATTTTTTTCTGAAACTCAATTTGTTAAATTTATCACACACACATTGAAAAATAACATTTATAGTATAAAGAAAAAATAAATGGGTTGTGTTTTTTGCCTTTACCTAGAGATATCATGTGATTATTCCTACTGCAATTTCCTTCACTCCTTAGGAGAACAGTGAATCTTTTCTGTGGAGTACCACCAGTCCTTCTCCAACCCTTGGTAGAGTTACGCCTCCTCTTCGTACTACACATTCATCCAGCACGTTGGCACGGAATAAAATCAGCTCTGTGTGGAAAGAGCCTGTCAGTTTTGTGGTGACTCACTTGAGGCCATATACAACATATCTCTTTGAAGTTTCAGCTGTTACCACGGAAGCAGGGTATATTGACAGTACCATTGTTAGGACACCAGAATCAGGTATGATTTGATTTTTTTAGAAAGAAAGAAACTGACCTGAAGTTATTTATAGAATAATCTTTCATTCTGTCCATAGAATTTTTTTGTTAACTTTACTTCCTTTAAGTAACTCTTTCACCCATATTAGATAATAGGCATCCACTGGAAATATCTTCAATGCTAAACTAAAGACAAAAAGAAAAAGAGGTTTGAAAGAGGAAATTCTTCAGTTACTATGAATGACAGTTATCAGTCCATGCCCTCTGTAATTCTTCCTAATTGCCTTTGCTCTTCCGATGCATCTTAGTTATCTATAATCTTCCTCATTGGCATGGTTATTAACAGATGTGCAAGATACTACCTGAAACAGCAGAGCTAATGCTGATCAGCATTTCAATATCAGGTTATAACAATGGCTAAATATATAACTGCTCAGATCTTTATGCACAGTATTTTTCTTGCTTGAGAAATGGAGGCAGTCATAGGACCTTCTGTGTGTTGGAGTTTTAGGGTTAAATGAGTGCAGTTAAACATCATTAACATTATTCATTTTTTTTTTGGAGGTCATATTTATTTATGATTGTATTTATGTGGATACCAATACAGTATCATAACATAGTAGTATAGATATTATGAGCATAATATGTACCTGATATTTTAGTACACATCTTGACACAAAATAGATGTCAGATATGTATATTGTAATATAGCATCAAGCATCAAATATGATTGGTAATTTTTGAGGATACTGGAAATTAATGGTAAGTCAATTTTATCTTTTTGTCCAAAGGCATACATGTCGGGTCCTATTATTTTCCTTCACGTGTTAGTTTGAGACTATTATTGTCTCTATTTAAATAACTATATTTGAATAATAGTATATCCTTCTCTTATACCCCATATACGGTATAAAATAATTTCATGTGAATCATAGAAAATGAAATTTGTTGAACAAGAATTTTGAGTAAATACCCAGAGTTGTTCATTAGAACAAAGATAAATATTGATGTGAAAAATAAAGGTCATTGTGCCTAAGTTTGAGGGATTTTATCTTAATTTTCTATCTGTATGTCCACAAGAAAGAGTTTCTCAAGCCAAATATCTACATTGGTTGGAAGTATTTGTGTGTGTGTGTGTGTGTGTGTGTGTGTGTGTGTGTGTGTGTGTGAGAGAGAGAGAGAGAGAGAGAGAGAGAGAGAGAGAAAGAGAGAGATGAATATATGTATTATATATTATATATGGTTATGTATAACTAATATTTGTATTGCTACATTGGGATAATATGACATTGGCAAGAATTATATTACAATAATTTAAAGAATGAAGTATATTACATTATCATATACAGTACTAAGTACATTTTGAAAACTGTGAAAAGAAGTTAATGTAACTATTTCATGTGCCTTATTCAAATTCTTCAATTCTAGACTGTTCCGTTTTTCTTTCAAGTTTAACATACTTTGCTTTTAGTGTGTTTTTTTATACTTCATATTGTGCTATTTGTATCTAACAGGATATCTCTTTATCATATATATATGTGTAATATTTATTTTCTCTATATTAATTTCAGTGCCTGAAGGACCACCACAAAACTGTATAACAGGCAATGTCACAGGAAAGGCCTTTACAATTTCGTGGGACCCACCAACTATTGTGACAGGGAAGTTTAGCTACAGAGTTGAATTATATGGACCATTAGGTATGACTTATTCCATTTTGCCTTTACATTTTAGAATAAAACCTAATTTCTAACTGTAAAAGGAAACAATTTTTTGAAAATACCCTAAATTGAGGTGAATAATAGAAAATTAATGAGGAAACTAATTTCTTTAGTTCTTCTGTCTAAAACCACGCATGGATAAAAGGATGTTAAAGTGCTGTTCATGTTCTCTGTGGGGAAGAAAGAACTAGAGACAGACCCTCAGGAAAGTCCTAGGGATGACATGTACCTTCAAGCATTTGAATCAGAAGATCTTGACCTACATTCAAAAGAACATTAAGTTTAGAGTGACAAATCAGGTTCCCATATAGACCAGGATATTCACTTCTAATCACCGGTGCTCTCTGGACATACTATGAGGAATCCCTGTACTCTGTGCAATGTTATTGTGACCCTAAATCTGCTGTGAAGAGGTTATTCAAAGTGATATTGGTGGCTTTAAATGGTAACAAATTCTCCATCTTATAAACAAGCAGGACTTGAGTATCCTCTTCTTAGAGGCAGCCAGAGGAGTTCAGATACACTGCTGGAAGTAAATTAAGTCATCAATTTCTTACTGAATAAGAGATCCCGTAGTTCCTGTGAAAGTTTATTTCAAGCAATGATCAAATAACATAAACTCTCGCATTGTTGTTTATTTGAAAGCACTAAAAAAAACCCTTAAAGTTGCAAATCTTTTCCTTGTGAAATGTCTATGGTAGGCATCGCATGAGTAGACATATTTCTAAGCAACTTATACTTCTAAAAATCTGAGAAACATGAAGTTCCTAAAAGTAAAAGATAGCTCATCTCCTATACCTGGCCCCAGTACACACACACACACACACACACACACACACACACACACACACACACACAAACACAAACACACACACACACAGCACATAAGTATCCACTCACACACATCTTTTTTATTTGGTATATTTTTCAACTCTTGGAAGACATATACATTCTTTTAATTGGAAGCTTGAATGTTGAAAAAAATCAAAGGAGGGGGAAGTAGGTGTGAGAGTAAGCAGAGTTGACAAATTTAATTTGACTGGGAATAAATATTCCCACATTGTAAATTGCTAAAAAATGATAGACAAAAGGAGAAATGACATAAGAGAAGTGAGAATTGTTGAAAGGGTGCTTCTGATGGTAGTAGAAGATCTTTCCTTAAATACAGGGATGGGATTAAGATATCAATATGGTTTCTCTATAGAAGGGGTTCTCAACCTTCCTGATGTTGAGACTTTTCAATACAGTTCCTCATGTTGCAGTGACTTCTAACTATAAAATAATTTTCTTTGCTACTTCATAGCTGAATTGCAGCTATGTTATGAATTGTAATGTAAATATTTTTGGAGATAAATTATTTTGGAAGTTTGCCAAAGGTGTTTTGACTCACAGGTTGAGAACCACTGGTCTATAGTAAGGCAGAGTATAGCGTATGAGGGGGGTTCTGCTGGTGGGATTGTGCAGGCAGATGTTTTCTTATTGACTTAAGTGTTTCAATGTAATGGGAAAAAGACCACTATCTGAGACTGAAGAGAGGACAGAGGCTTTGGAGGTCTGAAAAGAAAGCATATAACAATCACTAAGTAGGTAAGACTACTTGCCTATGGAAGATGAGAAAATGCAAGCCACCATTTTAGGACTCACTTGGAATGTAGTCAAGGTCAAAGTCATGGAAGTTGGAATACATTTGTGCTTTTCTCTTCCTCCTTCAACAAGAGCAGTTGAAGGGGATTGAAGTTTTATGTGAGGCAATCGTTATTGGCAATGACGTCGGGTGGAGTGGGCATCAGTGTTGAAGGTCCAAACAAAGTAAAAGTATAGTCAGTGGTAAGATCTTTGAATGGGAGGCTTTAGGGAAATTAATGTTTCCTCATTAATTTAATGAACAACTGGAGTTCAGGTAGAATAGCATGGCAGGAGATAGCTGCATGAAAATGAGACAATATATTTTTGTAGTTATTGATAATGATATTTATGATCAGAAAATTATTTAAGAGTTATAATTTAATGCTTATTTCTCAGGACAATAAAATCACCACATATGCTAAAATGATAGTGTTGAGTTATACACCATGTACAGAATGAAAGTGAGTGACCTGAGGCTAATGGATATCATGTTGACATGGGCTTGAAAACCATGGACTTTATGTAAGGAAGAAGAGCAGTGGTGCTCTCTGGCACTCCTGTCTCTTCCTCCAAGCTCTGAAATATTGAATTATATACACACACCATCATGTTCATCATCATTATATGCTGGGGACCTAATCCAGAGTGTTGTGTGTGCTAGGCAAACAGTATCCCAAATGAACTATATTTATAGCCTCTGTTTCCCATTTAAATATATTAAAAAAATCAAATCCCAACACAACTCTGTAATATAAGAAAAATTATTTTAAGCACTAAAAGATCTTCATGTTGTTTCTACTGTTCAAATTTGTATCCAACTTAACCAAATATTTAAAATATATTCACTCATAATAAAATTTTAGTTTAACAATTTGATTATTGTTCTTCCTTCTATACATTATATGAAATGATTGCATATTTACAAAAATAGCCCATTGGTCTGGTCTGCTTTTTGCAGGGCGGATTTTGGATAATAGCACAAAAGACCTCAGATTTGCATTTACGCACCTGACACCATTTACGATGTATGATGTCTATGTTGCGGCAGAAACCAGTGCAGGTGTTGGTCCCAAGTCAAATCTTTCAGTATTTACCCCTCCAGATGGTAAGAACTTTTTCCTATATGGAGTTAATATGATATATTTGAAATCCTTGTGAATTTTATTGGTAAAATGTAAGTTTAGAAGGAATTTGATTTATGTCTACTTAAATCCCATAATTTTCCTTGTTAAATTACTATTTTCTTTACTATGAACCTACATTCTCTGGAATGTTAAACCTGCAGCATGCTTCATAAAGGAAAGGATCCAGGAGCAAGGAAGACTAGAGAAGAAGGTGACATTGAAGGTGACAGAGATTCACAATGGCTTTTTAGCAGAATGCCAAGAAGTCATAAATTAATAACACATATTTTTATATTGCCTAAATGCAGTATTAGGCAGACATGGAATGTGTTTTCTCACAAAAGTCATTTCTGGAGAAATCACTATATTCTTACCACTCAGAACAAAGTATTTTGATAATCAAAGGGTTTTCTGAACTAGTAAGGATTCCTGGTGGGAACAAAATACAAAATTTTCAGCATTTAAGGAAATTATGAAAATAATATATCTCAAGAAATTATCATATTTTTGCTTTTTAAACACCAACGTTTTTGGTGAAATCTATTGTTAACGTGCTAGTCACATTTTCATGGTACACCCTAAACTTGCTCAATGGCTTCATTTCTGTTTAGATACAATTGTTGGCATGAATCATGTTTCAGAATAAACTAACACTTGAAAAAGTTTCCAGAGTTTGTTTGTGTGGTAACTAACATACAATAACTGGTAAGTTAAATGTACATATATGTGCCCCCATCCACCTACACAGTTCAATTGGGTATGCATTCACTATGTTATCACTCATAGATTAGACCATTAGAGGGCAGCAACCATCAGGAAATTCTCTCCATTTCTCCCTTCAAAGAAAAATTAAACCTTGATACTATTTGGTTGTTGAAAGAATGTAAAAAAATATTATATTTATCGACTTAAAATTAAAATGTATGTATAGGTCATACATATGTGTGGTTTCAATATGCAGATTAAAATGGAAATGTATACTCATGAGGAAAAAGATTTCACTTGATGCTGAGATTTTAGTGTTTTGCCCCATTCAAAGAGTCTTTGCTTTGTGTGATTTTCCTAAAGTTTTGCTAATTCAATCCAAAATGTGCTCTTGAGCATTTCCCAGAACGTTAAAGGATTTTTGAGTGGTCATAAAACACAGCAGAGGTTTTTCTCAAACTATTTGACCCACTTTTTAAAAAAAAATTTTAAACATCGTGTGTGTGTGTGTGTGTGTGTGTGTGTGTGTGTGTGTGTGTGTGTGTGTGTGTTGTGTGTGCCTCTGTGCCAAGGGACATGTGTGGAGATGATCAAGGAAGAACCTTCTGGTGTGGGCTCTGGTTCTTTTGTGTCCAGGGTCTAACTTGTCTGATCTTGCTTATCTGCAAGTGCTCAGTGGGGAGCACATATTTAGCATGTATTAAGAACTTAGGTTCGATCTACAGCATGGAAACAATCAAAGCAAAACAAATTTTAAAAAAATCAATGAAATTATTATTTTTTATGATCAATCTTGATCTCCGGCATTTGAACAAGATAAAGAATTAGATAACATTTTGCCGCAGACAATGCTATCTTGCTTGAATTGGATGTTACTTAAAATTTATTTCCCTGCATTTGCATTTCTTTTATTCACAAAATACATAGAATCCTAAGTAACTTTGTCCAGAATTTTCACATGGACTGTGTTTCATACTGAATTATCTTGAGTGGATGACTCTTTTGTTGAATATGAAAAGCAATTTGTCCTGAATTTCATTTTACCATCTCCAACAACTGCTTATCTAAGAGACTATATCCTGGTGACTCTTAGTGAAATATTCACTGGCTACATGGGACCCTACAAAGGCTGGAAAGGCATGGATCATACCTGCTCAAGCCCACCTTCTTTCATGGGGCTCCATGACCATTCATTTAGCTTCAGGAAGGGCTTCCGTGGGCTTTAACAACTGCAAAATGTTTTCAGCTTCTGAATTAATTAATCCGCTCCCAATAATGAAATTGTTCCATAAAAGAATCCTGAAACTACGTGAGACATCCTAATAGCTAACTCACTTGCTATAGTCTAGAAAATTGATATCTAAAGTTTATTCTTTATAATTTATTGTTATAATAAGTTTCATTGTATATTAATTAACATTATTTATTCGCTGCCCCATGTCTTAAAGTACTAATTATTCTGTTTTAATTAGAATAATTAGAACTAGCTTATTTTTCCTAATTTACCTTTTAAAATAACTACTGTTCTGACCAGTGTTCAAATAGTCATAGACAAAGGTTTAGTTGACTTCTTATAGAGAATGGTGTGTGCTATCACATTTCAGTGTGGTTGATTTCATTAACACCAAGACTTTTAATATCCACAGTCTATTTGGTTAGGAGAGAAAAGATGCTACTTCTATAGTCGTTCTCCAGGATCTTTCCATGAGGTTTTTGTACATACATCACTTACTCTTTTACTGAGCATGTATCTACTTAGGCATGAAGAGAGATGATGGGGGGCGGGGGATGGTAATTTAATAATGTCCAATGTTCCAAATGTTATCTAATTGTTGGAAAACCACTGAGAGTCTCATCACATCATGTTTTTCATGAATGTGAATGGATTTTAATTTGGTGCTCTCTCATGCTCTTTGAATAGAAGTTTAACCTATCTGGATTAAATTATGGAGAATGGTTACTTTCATGCATTTCTTCGCAGTGAAACAGTATTATTGTCCTGTTTCACTTCTTCTAGTAACTTTTCATCTAAAAACCTCAAATTATTCAGAATTTACTTGTATTATTTTTTCTGTTCTATTTCTTATTTTTTTTTCATAAAATTTCTAAATGTGTTGTGTTGAGAATGACTCAGTGTCTGTGGCTAACATCCTCAGAATTGATTCTGCACTGTGAATAATTGCCCTGCGTGCTTGGTTTTCTTTAATTTTGTATCGATATTAAAGGGATCAACCTAATCCGTACTTCTCTGGTTTCTCCGTAAGAGTATGTGGGATACCAGATAAGTGTCTTTTTAAAGAGAAAACTACTGTCTGCTCCACTTCCTTCATCCACTAAATTTTTTGTAGTCAATAAAAACAATGTAGCCCCTTAACCTTTACTTGAATTACAATAGTAGGCATTAGTGTCATGATGTAATTTTTAAGTTTTGTGGATGAATATATATAAAAATGTCTGCTATTATTCATAAATTTGCCTTACATATTAACAGTTATAGTACATGTGTATTTTTCTATAGTATTGATATATTCGGTGTGTTCCCACTAGATTTCACAAAGAAGAAAGGACAATTCACTTGTTTTTCAAGTAGAAGATTTATTGTCTGGTTAAATACAAAGCTTAGTTATGAGTTATATGTTAATTTAACTTAACGGAACAATGACTGATCTCTTCTGTGATTTATATTACATAGTGCTGTCTAAGGTCTTCGTTACATAACGACACCCAAAATGGTGGAAAAGAAAGGTAAAAAGAGGTCAGCTGTGTCTGTCACTCTGCTACTTTACAGTTACTTGAAAAGTCTCTCTGTTCTTGGATAATACAAAGGGTTTGTAAACACAGTGATAGCAACATAATACCTAGAAACAATCATCCTAATGGAATAAAACTTCCTTTTATATAATTTAATGATAAAAATTAAACTTTTATTATAAAATAATAATTTTACTTACATAAAACAGGTGAACTTTTGCAGAAGGCTTTATGCCTCTTATGTCCTTGTGTTTCCAGGTGCATAGAGCAATGACCATGATGTCCAGTGTTCAGTGATGAATGAGTGACTCACTGATTGTGGGGTCCTACTCTAGAACCCTTTCCCTAACATCTTTCTTGGACCAAGCTATGAGCACTCCTCAGATCAGCGCATCAGTGGGGAAAGGTGTCTGAAGAGTTATCCTTCATTACAGACTCAAAATTATAGCTAATTACGTTGAGTGTACCTGCCACTTTCCATTACAGCTTTTGCCCATGCTAGACCCTGGAATCTTAACCACTACAATGATTCACCAGTCATAAGTATTCAACTAAATAGAAATATTTATATTATTACATTGTCTAGGGGGTTTCTGTACTGATAATTTCATGGAGACACAGAAAAACAATCTATTGGAAGTAAAATCTACAGTTATAGCATACTACATGTCTGGAATAGATAGAAATATGTTCTGTGATCATAATGATACTTATGGGAGTTGTGTCATTATTTTCAGCTTTTTTTCTATTATTTTAGAGAGGGAAGGGGTCCTTCTTCTCTGTTTCTTTCTGAGGTAGTGTGAATCTTTTGTAACTAGATTTTGCTAATCATAGAGCACTATGAGATGGTGACGGGACGTAGGCTTAGTGCGCTATTATATTTTGACCATAAAGGGTGATGTTTTCATGTCATATTTTCTCTCAAACCTGTAGTTTAGAAGTTCCTTTGAGTTTTGATGCATATAGTAACTTTATAGGAGTTAAGGGGAAGATAAAAATGCATTTGTACTATAGGTAAAGAAAGTGACTTGATTGACTGATTATTCACAAAACAGGTGAAATGCCCAGCCTTATTTATCCTTGCTACTTTGTCTTTGAGGCACTGGGAGGTTTTCTAGATATCACTCTTGACCATTATATACATAAATCTTGTTTTAACTACTTGGTGCTTTATGCAAACAGTTGTTTGCTTGTCTTATTTTTTCCCACTTCAAAAAGTGAGGACACCTAAACTCTGGTCCTACATGGTTAACATGTAAATTCAGCAGACATATTAATTCAGCTGAGTCTTTACACAAGTTCATGTAATAAATTAAGAGACAGTGAATTGCGCTTGTTGACTATATCTCATTGTATCCTGGCTGTGCCAGATACTGTTTTGGGGTATGTTATTATTTTTTTTAATAAATACTTCAAGGTTTTGACTGGGCATTAATTATTTATAAGAACTTCTCTGGAAATTTCTCCTCCTCCTCCTCCTCCTCCTCCTCCTCTTCTTCCTCTTCCTCCTCCTCACCACCATCATCATCATCACCATCATCGTCATCATCATTATCATCATGATTATTCTTATTCTTATTATTGTGTTTGTGAACTCTTGGAGGCCTGCACCTGCCATGTTGTGATTGTGGAGGTTAAAGAACAACACTGGGGTGCCTATTCTTCCTTTCCTTTCATCAGGAGCTCTGTGGATCCAGCTTAGATGCTCAAGCTCAGGTTGTCAGGCTTGAAAGCTGGTGCTTTTAGCCCCTGAGCATCTCACTAGTCTGGAGATTATTTTAGTGATATGGTCTGATCAAATGGTATGATGTTTTGTTTTGGGGAAATGATTCCATGTTATCCTGTTCCTCATATTTTTAAGAAGAATGCACATAAAATTAGTTTTAAATTTCCATGCATTTAAGGAATCTTTTGCCACACTGAGTTTTTAATATGTTAGTAATTATTCTAGTCAATTTCCCCAGAGCTATTTATATATCTAATATCATGTGCTAAAGATTTAGGGAATATTTGCATTTGAGAATGTATTTTCTCTTTCTAATTCTATTTAATTTTTTTTTTTTTTTTAGTTCCAGGTGTAGTGTTTGATCTACAAATCACAGAAGTAGAAGCCACAGAAATCAGAATTACTTGGAGGAAACCCCGACAACCAAATGGAATCATCAACCAATACCGTGTGAAAGTGTCACTGGTGGAGACAGGTGTCATTTTGGAAAATACTCTGCTCACAGGACAAGATGAGGTATCACATTTTTCATTTCCCATTTTGCTGAGGCCTTTTTCTGTTGGTTCTTGGCAAACTTGCTACCAGGAAGTAAAATAGATTGAGATATGTTGAGATTTTAACTAGATCATAGTTTATTTTAGGACTTTTAATTAAATATTACTACTCATTTTTATATGAAAAATGTCCACTGAATCATCATACAAGACTAATGGTACTTCTATATGTGGGTTTTATTATTCTAATCTGGTTAATGAGTTATTGGGAGACAATGATTGTGATTTAAATGCTCTTCCAGAGGCTTATAATCTAAAACAGTTGCCCCTCCCAAAGACTACTGTCCACAAGTAATTCTGTCCTATTTGAACCTGAGAAGCTAATAGCCTCAGCACTGCCTTTTATTCATGAAAACATGTAACTACATAGAAAGAAAGTCAAGTGTTCCATTTAACACGAGAGGCCTTGGTCTTCTTAATACATTACATTTAAGCACCGTGGCTATCTTATTTTCTCCTCTCCTCTTGCTAGGAAGTACAGGCAGCTGATGTTCGGCACTGTCTTTACTTCCTCAGCCAAGCCAGCCACTCACCTGTGAGGACCCTTGAAGTCCCCAGACTTCTCACTTATAACCTCACGTTGGCGGCTCCCTGGGCCCTCCAAGGCTAAGTGTACTTAGGAACAGAGTAGCAATCAGTGGGCCATTAGAGATATATGTGATGCTTATTAAGAAATTGGCTTCTGCTGTTTTTAGTTCAGAATTGCTACTCTTGTACGATAGCACTATTTTCCCTTCTCCCCACTCGCTCTATTTCTGGTAAGAGACTTCCTTTAACTCTGGCATTGATGTCACCATAGTACTCAATGCTATGTAACTGTGCAGGATCTCTCACTCCAAGTTGCTACCCACATCATCCCCAGGTTAAACTTCAGTCCTATGTCGTGTCCTTTCTTCTGTGTAATGGATGGTGAGTTATATGTTTTCTGATATTCTAGTTGGCGTCTCATCAAAGAGCAGAAGCTTAAGCATTTGCTGCAGCTGAGAACATCTTAAAATAGATATGTGGTTTTCTTTGAACCAGGTGACAGGTTTCCCAAGTTTGCTAATGGCATTTGTTGAATAGCCAGACACACCTGTTTTTCTCTAAAAGTTAAAAGGTCCTGGAAAGGCCAGTTGGAGATTCTGTAGCATAGTAGAAGGAACATTATTATTAGAGCCCATTCAATCTGCATTTAGATAGGGACCTGGCGATTACAGGATAAAATAGTTAAGAGTGTTGGTGCAGAAGGCAAATGGTTAGGGCTCAGTGCCTGGTCTGCCATTATCAATGGCCTAATCCTGGGAAAGGAGGCCTGACTCTTCTGACTTGACATGTAAGTTAGGAATTACATGATTTCCTCTAACAAAGGGTCAATGATGAGGACTTCATGGATGATATGTGTAAAGAGCTTAACAGTGTAGCTGACATTGTAGTAAGTTCTCTCCTAGCATTTGTGACTTGTTGGAATTAATCTTGGCATTAGAACTTACACTCTACTGGACATTCAATTTTTAAACCTTTCTTAATAAGAAGACCCTATTCTATTCTTATGTCTGTAAAGGGATCACTTCTTGTTACATCAAATTCATTTCAGGTACTCTACTTCCTCATGTGATTGGTCACTGTGTTCACCTTGGAACATTGATATGGGGTGGAGGATATAACAGATGGTCTAAACCAAGGGGCCTTGAGTCTTTGACCTGCCTTTGCTGTGCTTTTACAACTGTGACCTTGGACAAGTCAAACTACAAAGAATTTCTAGTTTCATGTTTTTTAAAAGTGTGTGTGTGTGTGTGTGTGTGTGTGTGTGTGTGTGTGTGTTTGTGATTATATGTGAGAGGTGTATGTGTCGTTGAAGGCATACATGTGCCATGCACTCAGTGGAAGTCCTTATGTGACTTCTCCTTTTTTTGTTTGAGGCAGGATCTTTCATTGGTCCAGAACTTTGCTACATGGGCAAGGATGGCTAGCCCAGGAGTTTCCAGAGATCTGCATATCTCTGTGTGGTGGTTTGAAAGAAAATGGCCCACAAACGAAGTGGTATTATTGGGAGGTGTGGCCTTTTGGAGTAGGTATGGCCTTCTTGGAGGAAGTATGTCATTGTGAAGGCAGGTTTTGAGGTCTCATATGTGCTCAAGCCATGCCCAGTGAGAGAGACCACTTCCTGTTGCCTCTAAGTCAAGATGTAGGACACTCAGATACTTCTCCAGCACCATGTCTGACTGCATGCCACCATGTCATGTCATGATGCTAATGGACTAAATGAAAATGTAATTTTCATTTCAAAGCCCCAATGACATGCTTTTCCTTTATAAGAATTGGCATGGTCATGGTGTCTCTTCACAGCAATGGAAACCCTAAGACACTCTGCCTCCTCTCTCTCCATCACTGGGAACACTGATGCATGCCACCATGCTCAGCTTTTTGAGTAAGTTCTGAGTATCTGAACTCTGGCAATCAGGCTTTCCAGGCAGTTGCTTTACCAATGGAGTGATCTTGCCAATTCATGCTTCCCCTTTAATAATTCCCCCCCACACATATTTTACAGGGGTAGGAGTGTAGCATAACAGATAAAAATCCATGGATTACTATCCTCATTGATTATCTTGTTTTCTTGTCATGGGTATCTCTCAGGTTAGGCACTCTCTTTTCCCATTTACCTCCGCTTCTGTCTCAAGAGCACTTTAAATCTTTGGAATCTTTTTAGGAGTTACATGTGACCTCAGTGTCAAATATAGGGGTTGAATATCTTTAACAATTCTCATGATATTAATGCATTTCTTCTCTAAAAGAATATATTTTTCCCTAAATTCATCCTTCTACCCCTTACTGTACAGCATTTTATACCATTTTTTCCTTAATATTTCCTCTGCTTTTATATACTGCAACTTTTCAATGTTTTGGTTTTAAATGATTAAAGAAAACAGCCAAGGTAACAAATGTCCTTACTATTTTCTAACATATTCATAGAGATATTTCAGAGAGCTCTTTTTTTGCAGCACTCTTACATCTCAGTACTTTATCTTGAAAAAAAATTTTTTTTTTGATATCAGGTCTTCAACTTATAGGTGTGTACCACCATTGAACCCTGAATATAGCCTCTGTTAAAAATGATCTTGTGTTTTCAATCACTGATTCCTCCTTGTATTCCTGTTTTCTACCTTTTATTTCTGATATTGTAAATGTCTACCTGGTATGATTCTGCCAGGGTTCAAGTGTGTCTAAACATGACCCCTGTAAAACAAAATAACAGAAAACGGAACCAAACAACCCCCCCCCCCCCCAATGAATAACAGGATGGTAGGAAGCAGGCCGTTGGGATCCTAGCAGCAGAGACTGTAGAACAGAAATGATAGTGACATGTGAAGAGTCTACAGGATACCCAGAAGAAAGCTGGTTAGGGCAATTAATAGTTTTCATGTGATAAGGACTCTGTCTGAAGAGGGGCTGACCTAAAGCTTGAGCACCAAGCTACGGGCTGAGGATTACTTCATCTCTTGGTTGATTTGGTTTTGAAACTTGTTTTTTTAAGAAGAATGGTCTAGAAGACTTTAAAATGAACATTAATGACACTGTGTGCCTGATTTTTCTTTTAGAACAATGGTGCTATTGTCCTCCATTCATGAATATTTGAAATACTGAGGTCTTCTTCCACTTACATTCTCCTTAGTATTCAATAGACACAGAGCCAGCTGTTTTTACCTTCACAGTGTATTTCTAATGCATCTCTGTCTCACCCCTGTGTTCCCACCTTCACTCAGTGTTACAGTTTCTTTCCTAGACTTTCATTGTTGTCCCATTATGTTAGTTTCCCACTGTTATGTGACTGTTTGACACAAACTCGGCAGTTTTAAATAGTACACACCTGTTCTACTGCAGTTTCTGACAGCCAGAGTACGGCGATAGCTTAATCAAGATCTCTGCATAGGGTCTCCTAAGGCTGCAGTCAAGGGGCTCACTGGGGTGTGGTCTTATCCTGAGGCTTGGCTGAAAAAGAGTCTACTTCTAGGCTTGTTCATTGTTTTAACCGATTTAATTTCCTTTTGGCTGTAGAGTTAAGGGCCTTGGCTTCTCATTGACTTTTGTTCTTAGTTGGTACCTCCTTTTACTTCTTGAAGACACTACAGTTTCCGACCTAGGTCTGTTCAGTCTAGCCTTTTACTTCATCAAACAAGCAAAGGAAAGTCTGTACAATGCCATGTGGTCACATCCTATCACCTTTGTAACAGTAACGGGTGCCATCTCACCAACAGGAGAGGGAAGAGATTATATGAAGGAGGCAGATGATGGGTGGCTAGCTGAGGGGCTGCTCACTGAAAATTTCACATACACTCTGGCCCTTAGTATATTATTAATGAAAGTAAACACATGAGATCTGAGAACTGATGAGGAAGATGTATACATACATGCATATGTGTATGTATATGTCATCTAGCCCCTCCTTATAGCCAAAAGTCAAAAGATAGTAAAGAAGACTAAGACAGAACATATTCCTATTCAGTGATTTTAGAAATAAACAAAGAACTCAAACCAGAAATGCTTAAAATACTTCTTAGGAACAAGTCAGGAGAAGGGAAGGTAGGAACAGGACATTGTTATTGTCATTATAATATTTTATCATTCCTTTTATTCCATTTTTCCCCACAGTCCATGGACACTTATAATGAAAATTATATAGAAGTAAAGCTATTCTATGCTCTGTGTCACTGGTCTCAAGATCTTCATTGGAATTTTTTCCTACTGTCCCTTTGTGTCTTTCTTGTTACTTATAAATAAGGATTATCAAAATAATACGAGGTCTCTTTAGGATATTAGGTTTGATACCTAAAAAAACATTTGAAAAATATATTTGCAATTTGAATACCAGAGCTTGAGGACTTTTATTTCAACTTCTCAACATATACTTAAATCTCATCTATTGTATTTTTAATGAGCAACTGAAAATTCAGCACCAGCTAAATGTTTCACCAACTGTGATGA